AAAGGCCTACGCCAACGGGTGCTGGCAACAGCAGAAGCAGAGGCTATACGCCTAATAAATTCAGTTTTATTTTAATGTAGTTTTGTTAGTTTTATGTAGTTTAGCTGCGTTAAATTAGTTTACTTCAGTATAATGTAGTTATTTGAGTAGTTATATCTAACGTTGGCGTTATTTAACTAAACAAAAAACTAAATAAAACTACAATTCTACAAATAAACTAGATAATTAACTGAAAACTAAACTAAACTAAAACTACAATTGCTTCTGATAGACGCCAAAGGTGAGACGATCTCGGGTAATCATGTGGGGGGATGGTCTACGAGCACCTGCTCAAATAGCTTTTATATGGCGGTGGCATCGTTATGGGCGCTTGCAGATCATTAACACTGAGGCAAGGCTAAAGAAAAACCTATGGGGAATTCTTTAAGGCATCCGGAATCCATTCAGAAGAGCTGAAGGGTCCTTGCACAGGAGGGCAAACTCGGCATATAAAACTGCGACAGCAAGGCCCAGTGACAGCGGGCTCACTCGATGCCCAGAACACGGATTGGCCAATTGCAGCCCCAATAATGCTTACCGTACCCTGAGCTGCCCCGCCCCCCCACGCCCCCCACAAACTGACCCAGCGCATTTACCGCAGGGCCTATTTTAGGAGGGGTCTAGGCGACGCTTAATCTATTGAAGAAACACAGATGTTGATCAAAGGATAATTATTTTGACCGTGAAAGTATCAAATATCAACTAACCTGACTTTTAATCTGACGGTTGAAATCCTCCGAGGCAGGAACACCCTCGTTTGTTTGCATTAAGGCAGTAGCTGCTGCCTGCATGGCTTCCATCTTCTGCTTCAGTTCAACATCAATGAATGTTCCCAGCTCCTAGATGGAGAAAAATGGGTTTAAGACGTGGCTTAGGAGCTGGCAACCCACTTTATCCTTTTAGTATTTAGCCGAAAACGTCGTGACAAAAATCTGGCAGGTGATTTAAATCCGCAGCAACTTTCACAGATTGCCAATACAGCAAACATAAGAGTCCCAAGAAGTAACTGAACGGAAGAAGAAGATTCGATTGCTGGGACAACATTTATATTCGCCTGACGTTTCAACATCTATCGCGGCTTCTTCATCAGAGACATGAGCAGTATTTATAGTACAGAGTCATTACTGCACACGTATGACAATTAACCATAATTGCCCTCTTGGGTGTTGATTGCTTGATTACCGGCATGTGGGCCCTGATTTGCTGAACCTTCATCATGCGTGGTGGAATCGGACGTGATGATTCCTCTGCCCTCTGGTTCCCCGGCATTGGCGTAAGATGATGCGGTGGCCTGTGCGTACCCCAAGTGGCGAATTGCTTTGGCCAAATTGAGTCTGAGCAGCTAACATAGATCGGGTGGGTCGTTGCACTTGTTAATGGACTGGGGGGCCCGTGAACCATGACTCAAGTAATTCTCGGCTCACAAGATTGTTACCTCTTGCTAGAATGCCGTTATTTGTCATACGTGTGCAGTAATGGCTCTCTCCTGTAAATACTGCAACTTCCTGTGCTTGTGTTACCCGCTTCTCTTACTGCTTTCTGCTCATGCCTCCGATGAAGAATCCGCGACGGCTGTCGAAACATCAGGCAAATAAAAGTGTTTTCCCAGCGATCAAATCTTCTTCTCAATTTCCCTGTGTATGAATAGCGCGTCTCCGCTATTGCATCTGATGGTGGATCCGCAACGGAACCCGAAACGCCAGGGGGTTGTCCCAGCAATCATACCTGCTTCTTCTCAGATCATTCTGCCGCCATCAGAGGACAACTGTTCACCCAGGCACCCGGGTCTGGGACACAATCCCGGTTTCATAAAGGAAAATGGCTACAGAAACAATCCGTTGCAATTGTAGTGACTAGCTCAACTCAAAGTGCAGTTTGGCAATGCCTGCTGCTTCCGGCTTCTGGGACAGCCAATCACAGGTCGACTCACGCAGGACCCCATGTGGCGACTGCCGAGCTAACATCACTTCAGACGCCGTCCGATGGCTTGCGGTTGTGCGGTCGTCTGGTAGTCAATTTCCTAATGCTTATTCTCGTATCTATTCTGTGCAGAAGATATTTGTAGCGGGTCGTGCCTGGCTGACTAGCTCGCGTCGG